TAATAATATTAAATATTAAATAATAATACTAAATAATAATAATAATATTTATTTACAGGGGTAAAAATTAAAAATTCAAATCAGTATTATAAAAAGTTTTTCATCCGCTAAAAATTAATTTTAAATTATAAAAAAAACTTTTTTATACGGGTATCAACTCGGTGGACCGGGTTTTTTGACCCAAAAATACCAGTTTTGACAAAAATAGTCCGAAACTCATTTTTTATCGCGGTTGGCATGGTGGGACCCGTATTGACCCGGTGGACTCGGTTTTGACCGAAAATGATATTGACCCGATGGACTCAATTTTGACAGAAAATGATAGTTTTGACCCGAAACAGCCCGAAACTCATTTTTCACCCCGGTCGACATGGTGGGACCCGTATTGACCCGGTGGACTCGGTTTTGACCGAAAATGACGGTTTTGACCCGAAACAGCTCGAAACTCATTTTTCACCCCGGTCGACATGGTGGGACCCGTATTGACCCGATGGACTCGGTTTTGATAGAAAATGACGGTTTTGACCCGAAACAGCCCGAAACTCATTTTTCACCCCGGTCGACATGGTGGGACCCGTATTGACCCGGTGGACTCGGTTTTGACCGAAAATGACAGTTTTGACCCGAAACAGCTCGAAACTCATTTTTCATTGTGGTCGACATGGTGGGACCCGTATTGACCCGACGGACTCGGTTTTGATAGAAAATGACGGTTTTGACCCGAAACGTCCTGAAACTCATTTTTCATCCCGGTCGACATCGTTTAACCCGTATTGACCTGGTGGACTCGGTTTTGACAGAAAATGACGGTTGACTCGAGAAAATATATTTTAAACTCTTTTTTTTTTTATTTATTATATTTTTTTGTCATGAATAATAAGATAAAATAACATTCCTAAAAAATTTTAGTGAATCCAAAATTGGGTTACAACAAAGTGCATGAGTAAGTGTGCTTACAGAAGTTAAATTAAAGGACAACTGAGGCAAATGTAGAACAGATGACAAAGGAATCAAAGGAGTTGGGATAATTGTGTCAGACCCAAAAACACAAGATATTGACCCATCTATGAAAGTAACATGAGAGGTGGATGTATGTGACTGAAATGTAGAAAAGAGATTGGAATTACCTGTCATATGATCTGTGGCACCAGAATCAATGACCCATTTGGAGGAAATAAGACAAGTATTTGGTTTACTTGACTCGGCAATGGTAGGAATATGAGTAGATGAAGATTTTAAAGATTCTTGGTGCTGAGAGAACTTGACAAATTCATCTGCAGAGATAAGAACTGACTTTTTGAATGTATCATTAATAGATGCAATATGGGCCGAGTGAGTTTTCTAAGTTTTGTTTTGTAGTCCTCTACAATCCTGCTTTAGATGTCCTGGCTTATGACAATAATTACACACAATTCCTCCTAACTCCTGTGTACGATCAAAATTGCTTATTCCGCCTTTGTTACCACCTCTATAATGTGATCACCCAGCTTCATACTCATTGGTTCGACTGACAAGAGCACCGCTATACTGGACAAGTGGAGAAGTTTCTATGCGAAGTACCCTACTAAATACATCTTGTAACGAAGAGATCTCAGAGCTAGAGAGAATCTGAGATTTGGCAGTCTCAAATTCAGAAGGGAGGCCAGCGAGAAAACTCATGACATCCATCTTTTCCCTTTGACTTTGCTGTGTTTTTACATCAGGACTAAAAGTTACAAGCATATTAAGCTCTTCATAAGTTCTTTTAAAATCCATAAAGTAACTTGTAAGAGATCTGCCATGTTTTTCCACACGGTATAAGGTTTTACACTCCTCATAAATATGGGAAACATTCTCTTTTCCAGAATACAAGAAATCCAAATATTTCATCATTTCCTTAACAAATTCACAATGATTAATCATGCCAGTTACCTCATTGTTAATGGAATTTTGTATCTGAAAGAATAATCGGGCATCCTCCCTCAGCCATGTCTGTCTTGAATCATCTGTAGTTGGATCATCAGTCATATGATTACCCTTATTGATCTTACTCCAATCCAAATAATTGGAGCCATTGAGCTTGTGTTCAATTATTTTTGACATCACGGGGATTACGTTAGATATTACTGCTGTCTTTTTATCAGCCATAACTCATAAAATTTTATTTGTAAATCTCAACAAATAAAATTGTAGTTGAAAAACATGAAAACCTGTTCTGGATCTTAACAGCCACACCAAGGGATAAATTGACACAACAGAGCACAAATATGTGCTATACCAAATTTTCTAGTATTAGGTCAGATATGAGCAACCATGCTGTAATAACATTAAAACATAGAAGAAGAAAACAAATACTCTCTGTTAATTTTTTCATTGATCAATCTATCCCTTATATACAAGATAGGAACCCTATATATGAAAGTAGACTCAATAGAATCCTTATAATTAGTACCTTAAATAGAAAAGTAGACTAATTAGGATCCCTATTAGGCTTTATATTATTTCCTAATTACGTGCTATTTAAAACTTGTAACAGAGAATAAAGAAGTCCTATTAGGAGAGGGATAAACAGAGAAAAGAAATGAAGAAGAGAATGATGATAGCAAAGTTGAATATCAATTTTCAATTCAATTATCAATAAGCCTGCATAAAACATTTAATAGATGCTCTTAAATAGGCAACCAAACCCTAGTGATATCTTTTTTAAAGAAGTAAAGTAATTAATGGTGATTAAGATAGAAGAATTCTAACAGGCTCAAACAACTAAAATTGTGCAACCTTATTTATGTATATTAGAGGAACCACTGTGCTCAAAAAACTTTGAACTTTTCTGAAGACCATGCGCTGTAATGCATTTGCTAATTGTCTTTCAGGGATAAACATCTGATATTTAAACAGCATTGCAAATTTTTAAAGTTTCTTTAGATGTTCAAAAACTGGGTTGCCACATCATCAACCAAGCAATCACATTGATCCTTTATGATATTTTCAACTTCTAATGCTTGTAATCCTTCTTTTAGCATTTGATCTATATTTTGGCATGTTACAACAGATCCTCGTGTTATGTACTCGGAACCTGCCAAGTTTGTGGCAAAGCTAAGGGAGACCAAAACTGACAATAACATGCTACTGCTGAAATGTGAATTTGGTGCTGGGCATTCATCGAAGTCAGGAAGGTATTGTTTTCTTCTCTGTCTAAAGTTACTCATTTCATTCCACGATTCCAAACTGTGAAGAGGAACTCGAGCAAGAGAGTTAGTTGCATTGAGGATGATGTTAGAAGACCTGATTTGTGCTGTTAAGGATTTGCATAACTAAGAGTTTTCATGACCTTTATACTATCTTTATCTTGAAACCATAAATACGAGATTTCATCGTTTCTTCCTCTCTTTTAAAATATAGGGGTGACTTTTTAGCTAATCTGTTACGATGTTATATTTTGTTTGGTGCAGATTTGAGAAGCTTCAAGAACAAGCATTCATATATGCTTTCGTTTTGAAAGCACTAGATATGATTCCTGAACTTAGCTCTAGCCTCTAAGCCTAATGAACCACACCCAGAAGCTGAAAGCCTGCTTCATACAAGGAATTACTGGTGCCGACTCTTCCAAAAACAATGTTTATTTTTTTCTTTCTGTGACACTGACTGGCAGTTTTATTATCATTGGAGATTTATCATTGAAATCAACTACATGCAATGCAATCTGCACCTGCAACAACACATATAATTGAAAGTTGGACATGATTTTAATTTTTTTTCGGGTGCAAAAAGAGAGAACCAATGAAAAAAGAAAATGATAGAAAAGAGGCAGGAAGGTTGAAAGTGTGGTAGTGGTTATTTTTTAAAAGTGTTTTTTTATTTAGAAATATATTAAAATAATATTTTTTATATTAATAAAAATATAAATATAATTAAATAAATAAATGTTTTGTTTCCAGTGTTTGACTATCTGATGCATCAGTAGTTAGTCAGGCATTCATGGGCCCGCGCTTCGATTCTGGCTTCAACATCTTTATTTATTTTTTATAAAGTGAATTGATGACCCTTGATCCGCTCCTTATTTAAAAATAAAAATAATACACAAAGATTACATGCCATCCCCATTAATTTATTTTGTTTAAAACATTCTCTCCCACTTTGATTTTTATAAGTGCACCAACTAACTATTAACAGAATGATTAAATAAATATATTTACTGGGTTCAACGGCGGAGCCTGTGCTAAACGAATATACAATTTTTTAAAAGATTAATCATTAATTCATAAACATGAATTTATAAATTTAACAATAAAATTTTAATTCATGTAAAATATTAAAAAAATAAAATTAAAAATAAACTTACTATTAAAATTATATTTTGATATTTCATGAAATAAAATTTATCTATAATAAAATCTAAATAGATATTTTTAATAAGTTCTTGTTTAATGTATATTATTATAAAATATATTTTGATATTTCATAAAATAAAATTTATCTATAATAAAATCTAAATGGATATTTTTAATAAGTTCTCGTTTAATGTATATTGTTATAAAATATGTTAAAAATATCTTTTTTATTTTATTATAAGATATTTTTAATATACTTTATAGTTAAAAATACTCATTTTTTTTGTTGCAGTACTAAAAACATATAAAATTAAAATAAAATAAAATAATTTATTAATTAAATAATTGTATTGCAACTTATTTATTTTTATTAATCTTCTCTATAATTTGTATGAAAATAGTAGGTATATTTTAAAAGCTTCTATGATAAATCAAATTAATTTAATAATATTTTAGTTAAGATTTTAAATAGTATATCTCTTATTTATTAAATTTTAAAAAAAATTATCAACAAACTTTAAATAACAGCAACTTTAAATAATTTAAAATTATTTTTAAATTTAAAAAAAATAAGTATAAAAAATTCACTATCTTATTATTGAATTTAAAATTCAATTGTTCCAATTAAAAATTTATTAATGAATTAAATATATTATAATGATAAATCAAACACTTAGAGTCGTAAGTGATCTCAACTCCCTCCCACGACAAAACAATCCTTATCCCTTCCACCTGATCAGCCATTTTGATATGTTAAGAGAATCGGTTCCCTGCACGCCTCTGCTACTTCCCACCCATATCTTCTTTTCTAGCAAAATCCTCCTCTCCATCCATTTCAAGCTCCTGTAGCTCACTCAACATCTAAACCATGCCCTCATCCTTCACTGTCCCACCATGTCAAGATTCTCAAGAAACCAACTACCTGCAAACCCTTTTGGCCTCAGCTCGTCCTTTCCTTAGAGGAGAGCTAGAATCCATTGACAAGAACTTGCCTTCCCTCATTTCTGTGTTACGTTCTGTTGGTGCTGGTGAATGCTGGCACAAACATGGCAGCTTTCTTGATCACCTAGTTGACATTTACCGTATTCTCAAGATATGGAAAGCCCCTGACTCTGTCTGTCTCTGTGGCCTTTTCCATTCTGCCTATTCCAATTCTTATGTCAATCTTGCTATCTTTGATCCTGACACCGGTCGAGATGTTGTTCGCAACCATGTTGGTGAGGCTGCTGAAAGGTTGATTCACTTGTTTTGTATTGTCCCTCGCCAATCATTGATCCATGATGATCTGTTGTTCAAGTATTCTGATATAGAACTTGTTGAACACCTTAAAGCTTCTGAGTTGTCACTGAGGAATGCAGAAGATAAGGGTTTGTTCAATGGAGAGGAGTCTTGGAGGAAGAAACTGGCTTCTCTTTTGCCTGCCAGTGGGATAACAGTGAAGCATATAAAGACTGGAGAAGATGTTTTAGTGACCAGAAGAATGGTGGGTGTTTTTCTCTTGATGACCATGGCTGATTTTAGTGATCAACTTTTTGGTTTTCAAGATTTGTTGTTTGAAAACTTTGATGGTCGTCTTGAGTTTCGAGGGAATAATTTTGGTGCTTTGTGGCCTGGAGATGGCAAGCCAGGGCTATGGATCAATTCAGTATCAAGGATGGGTGCAATTTACTCTCTGATTGTGAGAGAGGAAGAGATTTTTATTGAAGAGAGGAAGAGGGCTGGTGGTTTTGAAGTTGACAGAGAGAGAGATGAAGATATAGAGCTCGTGTTGGCACCAGTTTTTGAGAATTGTACTCAAGTTTTGGATGCAAGAGAGCAGATAGTGGCAAGGGACTTGTACTGGGAAGCTGTTTGTGATACCTCCAAGGGAGGGTTGGAGAGGGCTGAGGAGTTGTTGTTGAGAAGCATTGAGAAGAACCCTTTTGTCGGTGAGCCTCATGTGGTCTTGGGTCAATTTTATTTGACAAAAGGGAGGTTTGAGGAGGCCGAGAGAGAAGCTGAGAGAGGGGTCATACTCTTGGTAGAGTGGGGCAGTCCTTGGGATAAGAGGATGTCTTGGGAAGGATGGATTGCTTGGGCCAGGGTCTTGTTGATGAAAGCTAAAGAGAAGTCATGGCCGCAGACATCTTGGGGCATCCTTAATTTAGGGCTTGTGAGGTAACTGGTTTTGTCGCTCCATTCATGTGTGCAGGCACTAAAGAAGATGCGCTCTACCTAGGTAGGTAGAAGGAGGCAGAGTCAAGGCACTCTTCCACCCTCTGCTTAGTTGGCCTGAAAGAACACAATATTTAGTATTTTGTTTTGTGAAGATCCATTTACTTATCCGGGTTTTCTTTTCAATTGTGGACCTATAATGGTATGGCTACTTTTCTTTTCCTTCTTTTTTTTATTTGATGACAAGGATATGTCATATTGAGACGACGGCTCCAATATGGTTGGATGTGATTGACAATTTTGTTGATAACCTGAGGAAAAAACCAAAGACCTCCCGAGTCCTGGAAAAATATATTTTTAACGGTCTAGAAAATATCTTGATGGATTCAAATAAAAAAATTCAAAAAAAAATTACATAAACTCCAAAAATCTTTCTAAATAGACTCAACAAGAATGTTTTTTAACTCGAGCTTGTATCCTAAGTCCAAATTACAACAGGAGTCCAAGAAGAGTGAACTCGGGCATTATAGCTCGAACCTAACATACAAAAAGCCTAGCCTCAAGCTATTACCCATGCTCGTGCAGGGTGCACGCCCAGCACCCTTGTAGGCTCGGGTTTTTATATTTAAGCCCAATATACTTAAGTACACATAGCACATCTTGATTTATTTATCACCTCTAATATATCAGAACCAACATGTTTAAGAGTGTGTTTGGCAGTGTAATAGCTGTTGCTTTTCAAATAACTTTTTTGTACTCAAATACATGCCAATAATTTTTTTATTTTTTAAAAATTATTTTTAACATCAGCACATCAAAATAATCCAAAACGTATAAACTATATTAAATTTTAGTAAAAAATAATAATTTTTTTAGGAACGCGAATTGAACTGCGTTCCTAAACGGTTCCTAAGTCCATATAACCCGTCTAGACCCACTTCCACCTTTCGTGGGGTCAGACTATCACACCCGAGCCCAATGTGTTTGTGTCCAGACAACGCTCTCAGACCCATTTTTACCTCTCGTGGACTTAGGCACCTTATTGAGCCTAACACACAAGGGATTTTTTTCTTAGACCTTATATAAGTCTCTCAGTATTTTATATCAATTCAATATGTGTTATTTTGAGTAGATTACAACTTAAAATATTACAAGGTAAAAATTACACTACATACCCTCTTTTTTATAAAAGAACAAGAATCATGAGTTATACATACACCATAAGACCTTCAAAACAAAGGTTCACAATCTCTTCATTCTTAATATTTTTAGTATGTATATTTTTAGAGTCTATCTCTCTAAAATATTATTATATTTTCTCTTTCTATAAAATTATTGACTTTACCATTGAAGAGTCTCAACCTTTATCAAAGGATACCTGTTGCAGGTACCAACCACAAGCCACCTTGACCTACCAAGTACTAAATATAGGCTATCAACTACCTTTGACAAGGAAGAATAAGTGAGACTTCTAGAACTAATTAATTAACCGATTATCCAACCTGAAAGCCTTATTTTTAGGCTACTTGGATTTTTAAGGACATCATTAATGGCTCTATCTATGGGAATCTAATCAAAAAGCCATCAGCTTCCAAAACTTATTTTTGACATTTTCAAACTATTCCATGGCACACAATTAAGAAACACATGGGTTAAGATGTAAGGTAAATTTACTTGTTATCACGAACACTTCTACCCAGCCAGACCTTTAACAACTCACAAGTCATGTGCAATTTCTCACCTAAATAGTATTGGCAACTCAGGGTCAAAATTAGACCTTTCCACCCTAACAAGTCTTGGAAACTATAGTAACACACTTGAGCCTATCACTATTACCATTGGTTGCTCCCAGCATCCATAGTTCATTACACTACTCATAAGAGTTTAGGCAAAATGACTTTCAGGAGAGTATTTTGCCTTTATACAAGTCCCTCTAGGAGTCGCTTGTGTCATTGCGATACCTGTATATATAATCGATACTTCAAACTCTGTCTTTCAATTACAATAGGATGGACCTTAGTTACCAATCTTGTTGTTTCATACCAAACTCTTCAAGCTCCTTGAATCCCAACGAATCACCTTATTATGTATAATCTTCAAAGAGAATGTAAGTTTATTTTTTAAATAAAAATAATATATCTTTAGCATATATTCCCTAACTACAAATTTCAAATGAGGGCTTTCGGCCACTCTTTTTAAATGGAATTGATTTTGTCGCACATCACCCGCGTGACATTGGCTGGCAATTCTTTTGTTTCAGTTGTGCTTTGATTGATTCATTGGGAGTCGCCACCTGGTATTTAATTGAAGGCTACTAGGAATCCTGGATGTAATGGTCTTGTCAAAGATTCACGAGTAAGGGACTAGTTATAATTAGGGAAGGTATTAGCACCCCTAACACATCCTACTTGAGGTAAGTTGCTTTGTAACTTTGATGTGTTAAGGAAGTTTTAAAAATTTTATCTTTTCATCAAATATTAGAAATACAACTTACATATAAGTGAATAATTCTTAACCGTGAACAAATCTAAATATTAAATTATTCTTTATTCTTTGTAATTTTATCATTAAAAAAATAAAAATTATCCATAAATAAATAAATAATCAAAGCACACAAATTCACTTTTACTATATATTTTTTTCTTTTTTATCTTTTTTTTTTTACATCCACACTACACATAATAAAAATTCAAAACTAAACAAAAACATTACATCAAACAACTTAAAAATTACAAAATAGACCCCTAACAATCCATAACAGTGCTAGGAAGCCTTCTGGAACCACGGGAATAGTGCTGGAATAGTGGTGGCACGTTGCTCCACGCGCCGTCGTCGATGATGGCAACAAAAATCGGTGGATTAAGGACCTCTTCCTCTTCTCTGTCTCTCTATGTCGGCAGTGACTTTCAGAAACAACAAAACCCCAACAACCAGTTGATTTTAGTTTTTTATTTTCTTTTTTGTTCACAGATTAATTTTTTTTGTTTTAATTTCGCCTTCTTCTCTATTTCAAGTGGTCGGCTGGCAAATGGGTTTATGTCAACGACTGTGCAGCTGCTGGTGGCCAGTCTGTGCAAAGGAGAGTTGGTCGATGGAGACAAGGGGGCGGCTCTGTGGTGTACGACCGGGGGCTGGTATGTGGGTACTGTTGAAGTTAGGTCGTTACTATTGAGGGAGAGGTTGGCCTGTATGCAGCCGAAAGAGGGAATTGGCTAGCTGTTATGGGCACTGTTGAAGGCCGGTTGAAAAAAAAAATTATCAGCCATTAAATCTTTAGTAAGGACAGCACTGCTGCTGTGGTAGGCTCTGTGTGGTGGCCGATTGCGGTGGGTAAGACCAGAGGAGAAGAAGATGTTGCTCTTAGCTTGTCTGGTGAAGGAGAAAAAAATGTGGCGATTGTGGCTTGGAAAGGGAGATGTAAGGTCCGCTAATGGCTAAGAGAGGGAGAAGGAGGTGATGGCTAAGAAGGGAGTCTGGGGGGCTGTGGATGAGGAGAAGGAGAAGGGTTTTTTTTTGCAAGTGGTGGCTTAGTGCGGCTGCTTGGGGGGAATGGGAAGAAAGAGATAGGTTTTTAGGGTTTTTTGTGGTTTTTTCCTCTTTACAAAATTCTCCACCTTTATATGTGTTGAGAAGGCCAATATTTATAAGTAAAAATATTGTTAGGTTTTCAAACTTAGTCCCTCAACTTCTTCTTTTTTGTAATTTTTATTTTTATTTTTATTTTTCTTATCAGCATCAACTCGAAATGAGAAAAACAGTGATTTTAAAATATAACGCGTTAAAAGTCGAATAGGTTCCAAAGATCTTTGAAAATTTAAACTCTTTTAAGATGATACTGAAAATGTTGAAAATGATGCAGATATAATAAAAAATATATTTTTTAGATTTTTTTGTTTTTCACTATTTTTTGGATCTTTCAAAAATTTTATCAAAAAGATGGGTCAAAAATTAGGTAACAACAGATTTGGTCTCCCTAAATCAATATCCTCACAATCACCAAGGGTTGATCTAGGATCCTCATTTTCTAAGAGATGCATAGGGGTCTCTCACTAATTCATTAAGAATTGATTTTGGATCCCTATTCTTCAGGTAATGCCTAGGGGTCTCTCACCAATTCATTAAGAGTTGATTTAGGATCCTCCATTTCCTAGGTGATACCTAAAGGCCTCTCACCAACTAGCCAAAAGTTTATCTAAGATCCTCATTCTTCAAATGATGACTAGAGGCCTCTCAACAATTCACCAGGGTTTGATTCAGGATCTCTCATTCTTTAGGTGATGTCTAGAGGCCTCTCACTATTTTATCAAGGGTTTATCTAGGATCCTTATTCTTCAAGTGATGCTTAAGGGCCTTTCACCAATACACTAGGGGTTAATCTTGGATCTCACACCTCTTAAGTATAGTATCAAACTAGCTGTACTCTTTAGTGAGAGACTTTCACGTCTCATATCATTCTAGAAAGGTCACATATCTCTCACACACCACTAACCATTCTTTAGTGAGGGGCTTTCAAGCCCCCATCACAAAGAAGGTTACAAACCTTTAAAAGGCTCTCAACTCCCCCCACGCCACCATCAAGAAAGCTACATACCTCTCACTCTTTAGTGAGATCTTTCTTCAATTAAGGGTTTTCATGCCTCATGCCATCTAATGAGGTAGCATACCCTTCACACTCCAGTATAACCACTCTTAAAATGATGGACCTGGTTTTTCTAGTGCAATAAAACCACTCTCTATAGATTTGTCCTTTCTGCCCTTTAGAAATATTTTCAAGTATAAATATCACTAAGGATCACCCTCTATGGATTTCCACCACCATCTATATGTTCCCCTCGGCTCTTTAAAAAAATTTCTAAGTATGGAGTCTTTTACATCTTACCTCACCCTCTTAAAATTTTCTTCTAAGTATGGATTCCTCCATTGTTCCCCTCTATATACTAACAATTTTTTTCAAACATAGTGCACACCCTTACATATGGGCTTTCCGGTTCATTACTCAATTTTTGACTCCTCTTTTTATATGAAAGAAATTCAACGAACTCATCAATGTAAATGGTATTTGTACATGTTTTTATAGATTAATACCACAAAGACTTGGGATGATGCAGTCATAAAAACTTAGGGGACTAGTGATCGATCCAAATAAAATAAACCCAAAATAGACCTAAAAAGTCCCACCAAAACAAACCCAACATGAACACCCCTTAGGCTTAGACTTGGTATCTCCAGCCTAAAATACAGTAGGGAGCCGAAAGAAAGAAGGCTCAAGCATGGTA